TTGTGAATGCTTTGAAGTGCTATGGTGAACGCGGGACGTGCAAGTAAGTTCAGGTGAGTTTATGGTGTTATTTGAAATGATTGAGTTATGGCATAACTATATTTGTGTTTTATGCAACTCCGACACTATCGTACATGTTGCAATAATAGGCAACTCTAACACTGTCATACAGGTTGTAATAGGCAACTCCGACACTATCATACAGGTTGCCTATGAGTTGTACAGGTTGCATTAGACAACTCCGACTCATGTGTTATCATAGATTGATTTATGAGTCATGCAGTTGCGTTAGGCAACTCCGACTCGTGTGTTATTGATGAGCACCTGATTTTTTTGTTACTGCCGATATGTAGTGATTTCGAATAGTCCTGGATTTACTGTTGATTTACATTTGATTTCATACTTATACATAGTATGATTTCCTAGAAACTATACATGTATTACAGCGAGGGATTATAACGTTTAGAAGGTCTTTATTAAAGCGTTATTTTCAGGCCCACTCACTCTTGTTGTTTTTTTTTTATCCCTCCAAGTTCTAGTAGCAGAGTTTTCGTATCGATGAGGATTCGTGGTAAATCTTGGTATTGGAAACTACCTTCAATGGTATGATTTTCAATCCACTCTACTATACTTTACTTATGTTCTGATGTCACGTGTGAAATAGGTTCATTTCCCCTCACAACGCACTCTCGTATTTAGGCACTTTTAGGTTTAAATTTATTCACATATTCCACATCACTATACTTTATGGCTTCGTCACCTTCTAGGTGTCGGCCAACACAACTCGATTAAAAGTCCTAGTGGACAATCCGGGTCGGGATGTGTCACCTTAAATGCTAGCATATTTAAGTATTATTTTATTATTTTTAAACCAATAACAACACAACTTTTATTATTTTTGTTTTAAAAAAATATAAATGAAGCAATAAATTTTGGCATATCAGGTGGAAGAAAAATATTGACAGCATGTGAAATCAACCATCAAATTGAAATTTGATGTTTTGAATTTGACATCTCCTTTGGAGATGCTCTTAGATGCAGTGTTTTAGTGGCAGAAAGCCAAACCCCTTATTGGCAAATCCTAGCCGCCATGAATAACTGAAATTCAATATAGATGCTAATACTGATCCTTTTAAATTGAATATAGATGCTAGTATTGATCCTTTCAAGACAATTACATATTAATACAAATCCTAGTCTTTGACTTTCTTACCTCCAAAATAAAAGAGAACACTGAGAATTTTTTTTTCGAATTCCCAACGCAAAATTGGCACAATAAGGGGAGTCCATAGTCACAAAATCTATAATACTTAAAAGAAATCGTAGGAAATTATACGAACTACACAAAGAAGATAATCTTAGGTTACCTGTATGCTTTCGTCTGAACTCCGAATACTAAATATAGAGAGTTTTTTTGTTGCCTGCTTTGAAGGTTGCGGACGTTAATATAGATATTGGAGTAGATATAGCCCTAATGTAATCGAGAGCGCCATATCTAATTTAGTTTTCTCCCTTTTCTAGCTATGAGCGAGATTTTTTTTTAGTTTTTAAACAAATGAAATTATCTACACTAAAGAAAAAGAGTTAGACTTAACCTGACAATGAGTTAGCAATAATATTGTAATAGAAGGACGGCAAAACCCCATTTATTTTGAGAAACAACCAAACCCCTTAGGGTGTGTTTGACACTCTACTTGAATCTAACTTTTTAAACTCAAGAACAATTTTTAAGTTTTAGGCCTTAAAAACTTGTTTGGCAGAACTATTTTCAAAAGCTAAACTCAAGACTAACTCAAAAATATAGTATATTCTCTAAAAACACAAAAAGTGAGTTTTTAGAGTTTTTAAACTTAAACTCACTCATTTTTTTTCTCTCCCTCCTCCCCTCTCACTCCAAATCTATCTCTCTCTTTTCTTCTTTCTCATTCCCCCTTCTCTTTTTATTTTTTACCTTTTCCGTCTCTTATCCAATCCGATCTCTTCATTCTCTCGGTTCTTTCTCTCACTCATCTTCCTCTCTATCTCCTCCGATCCTCTCTCTTCTTTCTCTTTCATCCAATCATCTCCTACTCTATTTTCTCCTCTCTCCTCTTTCTCCATCGACCCCCTCTTTTTAGATCTTTTTGTTCAATTTAAGTTGTAAGATTTAAAATTTTTAAATCGTATACCAAACAAGTTTTCGAGTCTTAAAGAAAATTGTTTTCAAGAAAAGTTCTTAAGAAATGTTTTGAGAAATGATAAAAGTTTTCAAATAGATTACCAAACAAGCCCTTAAATTCCACAAAAATTGCGGTTTGGCAATTATGGGAAAAAGGGAGGGAAGCAAAGATGCATTCCTATTGCATGTTGTGCCGTGCACAAAGAATGCAATCAAGGAATGATACCTTGTTTCAACAATTTGAAGACAATGATGTTGATGTGGTAGAGAAAGCTCGGGGGCAAGTCAAGAAGGGGAAAACATGCATTTGAATGACGATAATGTTACGAATGATGTTAGAAACCATATAACCAGATCAATATGGCTTGATCACGTCAATAACAATTAGTCTCAAAGCTTATCGGTTTTCTAGAATGTTTTAATGTAATATTTATTGTCTAAGACTTGAAGTTTAATTTGATTATTGAGCATATATGTGTTGTATTAGCACATGGATATCAAAATAGTATGTTTAAGGTTTAATTTAATATGTTTTGTATATCTTAAAACAAATACATAATTGAAAAAAAAAGCACTGTTTTCAAGAGTTAAACCAAACAAGTTTTCAAATTTTTAGATTCAAAAATAGTTTTTAAGTTCAATGCCAAACAAGTTTTGAAACCTAAAAAAAACAGTTTCAAATATATGATCCTGAAAATTAGTTTCAAGAGCAAAACCCTTATTTATTTGGGAAAAAAAAAGCCAACACCTTAGAGCCTGTTTGGTATCCTATTTGAAATTTTTTATCATTTCTTAAAACATTTCTTGAAAACAATTTTCTTTAAGACTCAAAAACTTGATTGATTTGTGATTTAAAATTTTTAAATCTTAAGACTTAAACTAGACAAAGAAATCTAAGAGGGTGTCACATGAGAGGGAGAAAGAGGAGAGAGGAGGAAAGAAAGTAAGAGATGATTGAAGGAAAGAGAAAGAAGAGAGAGGATTGGACGAGATAGAGAGGAATAGGAGTTGAGAGAAAGAACCGAGAAAATGAAGAAAGCGGATTAGAGGAGAGACGAAAAAGGTAAAAAAAAAGAAAAAAGAAATGAGAGAGTTTAAGTTTAAAAACTCTAAAAACTCACTTTTTATGTTTTTAGAGAATATACTATATTTTTTAGTTAGTCTTGAGTTCATTTTTTGAAAATAGTCCTACCAAACAAGTTTTTAAGGCCTAAAACTTGAAAATTGTTTTTGAGTTTAAAAAGTTGGATTCAAGTAGAGCACCAAATAGCCTCTTAAATTCCACGAAACCTTTTTTTTTTCGTTGGAAATATACAAAGAAAAATAATGTTCCATACAATTCATTTGGAGAAAAGAGTCAAAACTCTAAACTATTATAAGAAATTATCATTCAAAATCCACAAAATTAATTTCAATAATCCAATCGTCAAATTTATTTATATATGCTCCGATATTGTATATGGAAAAAATCATGAAAAAAGGTTTGGAGATTAAGTAACAGGATGAAATCCTTTGACGGTTACAAACGAAACATCACGACTTAATGGTTGTTTTAGTTCCGATTTTGATAATTTTTTACAACTCTACTCCTAGACCCTAGAATAATAAATGAGCAAATCCGATCGTCAATTTAATATATTTACACTAGTGGATATCACAAAATCTTACGATCTACTTAATGAAAGTATAAAATAAACTTTAAATGTTTGTTGAATTTATTGTTTTGACGGGGTACACATTCTACGAAACTAGTTTCAACGATCCAATTGTCAAACTATTTTGTATATACTCGAGATTGTATAGGCCAAAAATCACAAAAAATAAACATTCGGAGATTAAGTAACGCGACGAAATCCTTCGACAATACAAACGAAAATCACGATTTAATGGCTCTTTTAGCTCCAACTTTGATGTTTTTTTACAACTACACTCCTCGACCCTAGAAAAATACTATGAGAGGACTTGATCATCAATTTAAAATATTTACACTAAAAAATAAACTATAAGTGTTTGTTGAATATATTGTTTCGTACGAAATTAGTTTCAACGACCAAACTGTCAAACTAGTTTGTATATACTCTGAGATCGTATACGCTAAAAATCACAAAAAACAAATGTACCAAATAGATGAAGCCCCTAAGATAGAAGCATGTCGAGGCAAAGTCTTGATGGGACTCTACCTGTTCGGCATCTCCTTGATTATCCTCTTATCCTTTAGTGGTCAAAACTTCATCTCCAACCAGTCTCAGCCTTTTTTTACTCCAACTAGGATTCTGAATTTGATCTCGTTATAAGACCCATTCATCTTTATTTAATTAAGTGGGCGTTATGATCATTGGGACAATTCATATTTATCCAAAGCTTAATCTCTTGGCAATTTCTCATGTAGGACTCGACCGAGCCCTAACTAATCGCTTCCAAAGTCTCTTCTTCATAAGGGCAACGATTACAACGGCCCTATTTATGGGCTGAAGGCCATCGGCCTGAAGATGTCCATTGGGGCAAGGTTCACGATTCTCTAGTCAGCCCTCCGCGGCCCAAACTGTCTTGAAGCCGTTGTCTTTCATGTTTCAGTACATCGGTAAGATGGGGAATTAGGGAAAGACTAACATGCAGTGACACCGTTGCTCGAGGATGCCCTCATGGTTCGAGGATATTTGGAGGATGAGGAGCATAATGTGAACCCTAAACATTCGCCTAAACATATAATAGGAAGTATACCGTAATTCCATTGGTTGTTTAAGAAAGTTAGAACAAAGAAGGAAATAGGAGTCAATAGGTAGATCACCAAGTAGCGTAGACAGGCTGAAGAGTTTAATCCCGAAAACTACGTGAATCAAACTTTTAAAATCAAATATCAAACACATGAATTAACCTACTCAAATTTATAAGAATATTCAACAATACACAACTTGTGCCTTGTTCAATTTTTGGCTCAACACTCCATGAGTTAAGACTAATTGTACTACACTTCAAGATGTAAATAGTTATAGCTAAAATATGTTGATTTGCCATCCGACAATTATACAAGCCCGAAAGTGCAAATAGAACAACTAGATACCTCGTTTTATTTTGAATAACAAACCGCCAAGGGTTAAGCACGAACAGATGAAGAATCGGAGGACGATTAACTTCACTGCTGCGCCTCAGCTTGAGGCTTGGGTGCTTGTTTAATCTCATCTGTCCCGTCATCCTATAACACATGCAACCAAATGACTCATAAATAATCACCATTGAAAGAAATAAATTGAAGTACAGAAGCATGCATCTGTAGCTGTAGACAGACTGATAAACAGAGACCAACCTGCATATCCGAAGTCCACAATGTGAGATTATCACGAAGAAGTTGCATTATCAAAGTGCTATCCTTGTATGAATCCTCTCCCAGTGTATCCAGCTCTGCAATGGCTTCATCAAAAGCCTGGTTGAATCACAGAAACACAAACAAGAAAATAATTAGAAACCATGATGACAAATAAATTAAATATATAGGACAGAATATACAACCAATAGTTCAACAAGAAAAACATATATAATTGAAAGAAGCAAAATCTTGAACATGAAAAGTCAATAAAGATGCATAATAACTCTAATGCAACAAATTAGTATGCAATAAAGACGAATAATCAAATACAAAATGGCATAAAAATCAAGCACTCCAAAATCCTTATTTTCTACACATGAGGCTTCAAGCATTCCTTACAGACAACATACGATAAATATCAGCCCAACTAATTATAAGCATGCTTGTATGGATTGAAGAACCTATGTCTACCTACAGGATCTTAAATTTGAGAAATTTGTAACTAAATTACAAACTACAATCAAATAGAACGCATGCTATCAATCTTTAAAGTTCACCCTAATATTGTTTTTCAGTTAGCATCACAAGTTTATCTGCAACTATAAAAGATGAGAGGTAAAAAAAAATCAAATTCTGAGTTTGTTGGTAGCATGCAACAATATAGAGCTGCAAACATATGAGCTATGAGAAGGAAAGATTGGGCCGTATCCTTTGTGCCAAACATTTACTTTTCTGAAAGAACAAGCCAAGTTTCGTTCTGTCCCAAATATCTAATACAACCTTAATTGATTGGGAAAATATAAATATACTGAGAGGGTCAAACAGATCAGAAAGAAGTAGGCTTATGGGCATTTCCGAGTAAATTTCCTCACCTGCTTGGCAAGACTGCAAGCCCGGTCAGGAGAATTTAGAATCTCGTAGTAAAACACAGAGAAGTTCAAAGCCAATCCTAAACGGATGGGATGAGTTGGGGCCAGCTCAGAGGTTGCAATATCCTGAGAACAAAGGAATTATCGTATCAACAGATGAACAGAATTAATTAAAAATATAGGAACCTCAAAGCATGACTATCACATAAACATATATCTCAAATCGCGAAGAATTATGTGATTCAAAATTAACTGGAAGAGACAGATTTCTACAGTTAGCCATTATTAAAACCGTTTTGAAATATCACTAAAATTTCCATAAATCCCAAAATATTATACCCATAGTCTTATAAGAACATATGCCCATAATCATATAACATCTGATGGTGAAAAGAACCATGATCAGATTTACAACAGAAAACCGTTACCAAATCTGATCTTAATTTTGTATGAATAATTTGCCAAGCAAACAATCAATGCCAAAGAATCATGGACATTCAAAAATTCCATCAATGATCTTCCTCAACCATAACAAAAATAGAGCCTCAAAACCTATTTTCTTTTCCAATGTCCAACTAAGCAAAAAAAATGATGAACATTCGAACCAATACATTCACAAGTACCAATCAAACAACGAAATACAGGAGCACAAAAAGTTCAAACAAGCAATGAAACATTGCAGATCATTTCTAAATCCATAAAATCCGAAAACAAAATTCACCAAATCTCAAAATCCCATAAAAACCATTCAGCCAATGCACATCAGATCCACATCAATATTCAAATTCAAAAAGAACCGCAATGAAGAACGTTCCAATTAAAGAAAAAAAAAAACCCTCAACCGGAAATTGGATGAAATAAAAAAAATATAAAATATAAAATAAAAACCAAACCTGAGCTGACTTATAGGAATTGAGGGTGTTCTCAGCGGCCTCCTTGCGCTCGTCTCCAGTTTTGAACTCAGCCAAATACCTATGGTAATCTCCCTTCATCTTCAAATAAAACACCTTGGACTCTCCAACGTTTGCCGCAGGAACAAGCTTGGATTCGAGAACCTTGAGAATCCCACCGCAGATGTTGGAGAGCTCGTTCTCGATCCGAGCCCTGTACTCCTTGATAGTGGCGACGTGGTCGCTGTTGCCGCGGCTCTCCTCCTTCTGCTCGATGGAGGAGACGATGCGCCACGAGGCACGGCGGGCGCCGATCACGTTCTTGTAGGCGACGGAGAGGAGGTTGCGCTCTTCGACGGTGGGCTCTTCGCCTTCAGGGAGGGAGGAGACGACCTTCTCCATGAACTCAACCATCTCCTCGTATCGCTCGGCTTGCTCGGCGAGCTTGGCGACGTACACGATCTCTTCGCGTGGGGATGAGGCTGCCATTGGGATCGATTGGAAATCGGGTTCAGGGAAATTGGGAATTGATTGGAATTTGGGATTTGGGGATTTCAAATGAAAGAGGAAGAGAGAGGGAATGGCATGGCATGGTACAGGAGACTCGATTCTATACACGGTGATTTGCCTATTTAGGTGCGTTTGTTGCGCCCGACTATCTCAAACTGGACTAGCTTCAGCGATTAAGCTGAATTGATTTAAACTAAATTAAGCCGGATTAACTTATTAAAGCTTTGGTGCAGTGTTGAATTAAGAAGGTGAATAATAACAAATTCTAATATTATATTATTTAATTTATAAATTATTAATATTTTATTATGCTCTTATCTTTTTCTCCATCTTTTCCTACCATTTCCGTCCCACTTTCTCCCTCTTCTCTCAGTTCTTCGTCCCACCCTCTCCCTCTTTTTTTCCTCCCAGACCTTTCAATTCCTGTCTTTCTCTCATTCCCAGTCAAGCTCCTTATCGATTCCAATCTCTATTTCTCTGTCCTGCCTCCCTCTCTAGCTGTGCGCTGTTCGAACGGAACCTCACGGCTCCATTTTTCACGACGAGTTGCAGGTTTCCCGACGTGTTTTCCGGCCAACCCTCATTGAATTAGATGAAGTTAGCACCGCCAAAAAATTCCTCACCATCCCTGGACCAAGATCTTAGCTTTGCATGTTCGAATCTGTCATGGATTCGAAGAAGCCCAAACAGGCCGAGACTTCCAGACCATTTTCCGGCCACATTCGAGCTCCTTTTGGCCTCGATTCAAGTAGAATCGTAATCTTGTCACTCCCAGCTTCAATTTGGTATATTTTATATGAATCTGCTTTCGGTTTCTGGGTTTTTGGCTTTTTTGGGTTTTTTGGGTCTCTGACTTGGAGATCTTATGGACAGACGAGAGGGAGGTGGGGAGAAAGATAGTGGAGGGCAAGTTCTCAGGCGTGGGGTGAGGGGAAGCGGGGAGGCGGGGAAACGGGACTAGCAATCCCCTCCTTTTCGAGGGCTCTCGCTAAGCCCAGCTAACGAAGGATTTAGTCGGCACGAGTCCGACTTAATCCCACTAAACTCAATCCCGGCTTGCACCAAACATAGGTTATTTGTCCTAGCCAGTCCAGTCCAAGCTAAGGAGGTCAAACAAACGAGGCCTTAGTCCTTTAACTTATTACCTGTACTTCAACTATTTTTTGAGAAAAATGACTCTAGAACTAATATAAAATCTATCAATTACGTCATTCAGTACTATGGTCTGGTGATAGGAGCATATTTATGCGCCTTAGTTTAGCTTGTTATTGTACATTTATAGTCTTTTTGCTTAGTAAAGTAGTCTTTTAAGCTAGTTTTATGTGTTTTCAGGTTCTAAGGGCAAAATATGAAAAAGGATGCATTTTGGAGCCTTTTGGAGCAAAGTTGAGCTTGGAATGGATGTCATATGCTTGGAGCCAAGAGGATGGATGAAATTGAAGATTTGAAGATGATGTTTCCTACTTGAACAAGGTTTCCTAGTCGAAGTAGGAAAGCGCCTAAGTGAAGATGGAATCCTAGTTGAATTAGGATTCCTAGTCAAAATGGGTTTCCTAGTTGAATTAGGATTCCTTGAAGATGAAGATTCCTACTCAAACAAGGTTTCCTACTCGAAGTAGGAAAGTTAAATCCAAATGGCATCAAGTTTCAGCAACAAAGAAGATTTCCAAGTCCAAGAAGGAAAGGTTTCCAAGATGAAGTAGGAGAAGAATTCCAAGTCAAGGGAGGATTGAGACATGTTTTCCTAATGCTAGAAGGACTCTTAAGTGTTGTAGGACACAAATGAGAAGTTTCTAGAAGAATTCCCCTCCTTGCCGTGAGTTTCTACATTTCCTATCAGTTTTGGGGCTTTCTAGAAGCCCTATCCCTAATCCCTACATTGGTGCCGCACCCTAGCTTCTAGATGCCCTAGTTCCTTGCCTTGCAAGGCATTCTAGAAGGCCTATCCATATCCTACAAACCTGCCGCACCTAGGACCCCTTTTCCCTTGCAAAATCTGATTGTTTAGACCTATTTCCTTGTGGATTTGGGTTATCCAAGTCCATATCTGATTACCCTAGGGTTTTAAGTGCCTATATATACTCCTATTAACCCCTAAATCAGATCACCACTCACCACAATTCACAATTCACGCCAGAAATCATTCCTTGCTCTTTGCCGCACCCTTCCACCACCATATGCCATAATTTCTGCCCAAAAACAACCCTAGCCGCACCACCCATCAACCCTAAACACCATCACACATCCTCCATCCATTTTACACCATCCATAACCCCAAAGAACCTGTCCAAAGTCCTTGCCACACCAAGGAGGGGGAGAAGGAAGCTCGGAAGATTCATGCAATTCAAGTTCGTGTCGCTGGAATTTCTAGGTGTTTCTTTTCCTTTGATTTCAATGTTTAAATTCAATTCTCTTTGTTTTGTGCGTATGAGGAACTAAACCCCCCCTTGGCTAGGGGGGATTCGAAATACATGTTTATGCTTGCGATATGATTTGATTACTTCTAATTGCGTTTCATAAGTTGTGAATTCAATTTACTTATCTATGTGAATTACATTGATTTATGTGTGTTGGTTGAGAGTGCACGCTTAATTATCATGCATAAATTGAATGCTAGGATATAAGGAAATTTTCACCTAATCGTTATGGACTTATATTCACAAGTAGTAAAGGTTGATGATCTCAATCGCGTTAAGTAAATTCTTGGCATAAGTTTCATGCAATCATAGTAACAAGTGCTTCGTCAATGCTTATGGTTTTCATAGAACTTAATGATTCTTGCTTGTATCTCTATTATGCAATCATGTAGGGGACTTGTGGGGAATGTTTGGGTTGTCGTATGCAATCATCCAATTCAATAACGTTAGGAAAATCTGAGGGTTAATTTAAGCGGACCTAATTAACTTGGGGCATTGAGAATTCATGGTTTATTGAAAAGCAATTGGAAATCGTTTTGTATGCAAGTATAACATGTGTGGAGATGAACCCCTTAGCTAGCCTTCCATTCACCCATTTAAATCAAATTCGTTTTTACAATCTGTTCTAATTTACAAGTTTGTTTTGTTTTTAAATTCGTCCAAAACCAATCCCCCTTTGTTTTAAAGTGTCAAAATTAGTTAGTAAGTGTTTAGTTTGTGTTTTTAAGTGTCTTAGGTCAAGTTAAAACCAATTTTCGTCCAAGTTTGTGTCTAGTGTTCAAAACTGCCCAGATTGTGTTTTTAAGGCAGTTTTGAGTCTTTTGGTTTGTTTTGGTGTTTTAAAGTTTAGTTTTGCATTCTTTGAGTCTAGTTTAGTATTTTAAACTTGTTTTTACGTATTTGAGTCAATTCCAAGTGATTTTGCAATCCCTCCTAATCTCCGATCTAGAACGATCCCTACTTACATACATTGCTACAACTGATAAAAAGAGGGTTTAATTTGAGTGCTAGTTAATTCTCACATCAAATTTTGGCGCCGTTGCCGGGGATTAGCAACTTTGCTAATCCCTTGGATTGTTATTTTCGTTTTTCTTATTAGATCAGATTCTTATGTTATTTTGTTTCTTGTTCTAGGTACTTGTTTATGACTCGGAGTTCTAATCCGGTTCACGAACATATTTTAGACTTTGACGACGATTTTGAGCGTGAGTTGAGACGAAAGAGGAAGAACCCGGAACCTAGTGAATCAAGTGCAAGTTCCGAGTCCGTTTCTGAATTTGAAGAGGAAGTGGAAGACATGGCAGTGGACAACCGAACGATCAAGGAGCTTTCTGCTTCGGGATTGGATAATGCCGCACCTCTATGTATCCAATACCCTAGGGCGGCTCCGGACAAAACTGCCGAGTTCGAATTGAAGTCAAGCTTGTTACATCACATTCCGAAGTACCATGGGCTGTCCATGGAAGATCCGAACAAGCACTTGAAGGAGTTTGAAGTCGTTTGCTCAAGCATGACTCCGGTGAACGTGGATGAGAGCATCTTGAAGATGAAGGCCTTTCCCTTTTTTCTCCTAGAGAAGGCGAAAGATTGGTTGTATGAATTGGCTCCCGGAACTGTCACGTCATGGGAGAGCATGAAACGAGCTTTCTTGGAGAAGTTTTTCCCAACTTCTCGAGTCATCCTCCTACGTAAAAGGATAAGTGGCATTCAACAAGATGAAGGTGAATCCTTTCCTACTTATTATGAACGTTTTAAATCTCTTGTTGCTTCATGTCCACAGCATCAAATGAAGGAGGAACTACTTCTACAATACTTCTACGAGGGACTTTTACCAATTGAACGTCAAATGCTAGATGCCTCGGCGGGAGGAGCATTGGTGGATAAGACCCCTACAACTGCAAAGATGTTGATTGCTAATCGAGCGTTGAACGCTCAACAATACGAAGGTGTTGGACAAAGGAGCATGCCACGGCAACAACAAGTCAATGAGGTAAGTGCCATAACTGAACTTCAAAATTAAATGGCTAACCTTACTACGTTGCTTTCTCAGGTGGTGGAAGGTCCAAAAGTCAAAACCGTAGCTTCTTGTGGCGTATGCTCCACGCAAGGACACCCTACGGACAAGTGCCCACAATTAATCGAGAATGGAGGATGGGAAACACTCAATGCCGTGGGATATGGCAACCAATATCAATCACGTGGTGATCCGTTTTCCAATACTTACAATCCCGGTTGGCGTGATCATCCGAATTTCAAATGGCGAGACCCCCAACAAGGCCAACAACAAGGCGGATTTAGGCAACAACCCCCGGGGTTCTATCAAAAGCCGTTGGCACCACCACAAGTCCAAGCACAACCTGCCCAAAGCAATGTAGGTAATTCAAGTGATAATGATAAGATTTTTCAATTACTTACTACTTTGACGCAGGAAGTCCAAACTCAAAACAAAGAGAGGCAAATCCAAGACAAGAGGGTGGACAACTTGGAGAAGCAAGTGGGACAAATTGCTGAGTTCATGGGGCAATTTCGTGAGCAAGGAAGGTTGCCTAGCTCAATGGTGGTCAATCCGAAAGGTGGATTTGAATCTGCAAAAGCTATGCATTTGCGAAGTAGAAAGCAAGTCGGATCTGACCTCAACCCATCCAAGCCACGTTCCAACGAGGAAGAAGAGTTGAGAATTG